TGGGAAACCTGGGCTCAATCCCACTGACAATAAAATCCATGTTCTGCTGGGGGGAAAAAACCCCGACACAAATGTAAGCATACACACAACTGTAAGCGCGCACACATGTTAACTACTCTGCCAGGGGAGCAAGCTTTTCTGCTCCCCGCCAGAGGTCTATTTATTCTGAGGCAGAGTCCATGAATTGATTCTACACATGTGAATGCTCTGCTCCTTGTTTCTTTGGTTTTTTGACGACCACCAGTCAACCTCCCCTTTCAGCCCTTATTACCCACCTTCCTCCCCTTCTGCCCCATCCCTCAACCAACCTCTTCTCCTCAGCCCTTTCTGAATCCTTCTTGTTTTCTATTCCCCTCAGCCACCTGCCACCCCATTCACCCCCTTGCCCTCTTTCCCTTTCCACCCCCTTTCATGATTTCATATGATATTTATAGGGGATCACTGAACTGCTATGAAATCATAGTTCCCATCCATGCCCAGAGACTACCAATCTAAGGTATGCCTGGGACCCATATTTTTGCCATTTGGGTTGATCCTACATATAAAATCCATGGGGGTCCATGTCTGGGACCCCTGTTTCCCTGGCATGGGGTGATTCTACATACACAAATCTTGGGGATCAATAGGGAGAGTTTCCCCAGGAATTGGAGCCCAAAGGGAAGGCCGGTTCCTCCTTCCTCCACTGGCTCACTCTCTAGATGGAAGGTTTGGGTTTCCTGCATCCAGGGGGAAGAACCCACCCTTGTGCCTCCCTTGCTGTAACTCTAAATCTCTCTCTGTGTGTGCATGTGCAGTTGTTTGTGTGCCTGTGTAACGGGTTTGCCAGGAGAAAAAAACCCTTGCCCCTTTCTCATTTGTCCTCCTCCCTCTCCCTTGCCATTTCCCCCCCCCCGCCCGCCCCCTCATCAGACCTACCTGACAGGAGATTAAGGCGATGGCAGTAGCATCGGCGGTGTCAGGGTGAGGAGGCACACACTGTCACAAACGTTTTGGATTCGGGCAAATGCCCATGTGACTTAAGTACCAATCCAAAAATTACACTTTTTCTTCCAGTTTATTCCAGCAGTGGCAACAGGCCCTTGGCACAGATCTTTCTATTGGTCAATGATATTGATTTCTGTCAGGAACAATAACCTCCCCTTTTGTTCTGCTTTTTCCGTTTTTTCATTAGTCCCTTGACATCCAGTGTTTGAGATAAGCCTCTCACTTTTTACTTCCATTAAAAAAAAAAAAATCTGCTATTTTCATCCGTGCTAGTCCTGCTGCTCTTTTAGAATCATCCATCCATCTAGTTTGGGGTCTTCCTCTACTCTTCCTTCGTTTTCTTTTAAATTTTATTTCAAAAAGAGAGAGAAAGAAATACAATACAAAATAAAACGTTTAATAGTACAAAGAATAAAAATTTCCAGTGTGCTGTTGTGGATTGAGTGATGAACTAGAACTCTGGGTTCGAATCCTCACTTGGCCACAGAAACTCACTGGCGGAGTAGAACTCAAAAAACTACTCCTTAAACCTCTCATTTAGGGCCTGACCACACATGGCAGATGTTCCCCACTTATAATGATACTTTCCATGCCTGTTTCATATCTGTTGCACTGAATTGTGGTTAGGTAAAGGTAAAGGTTCCCCTTGACAATTTTGTCCAGTCGTGTCCGACTCTAGGCGGCGGTGCTCATCTCCGTTTCCAACCCATAGAGCTAGCGTTTGTCCGCAGACAATCCTCCGTGGTCACGTGGCCAGCATGACTAGACACGGAACGCCGTTTACCTACCCACCGAGGTAGTATCTACTCGCTTGCTTATTTATTTATTTATTT